TATTCTTTTTTTACATATCTTTATATAACCCCCTCAAAAGTAAAAAAAAAAGAAAAAAAAAGAAACATACCCTTCTTAAAACATATCCCTTCTGCCACATACCCCCCCCCCCAAAAAAAAAAAAAAAAAAAAAAAAAAAAAACGAAAAACATACCAACCTCCGACCAACATATCCACCATGAAACATACCTCCCTCCCCCTCCCAACAACATTTTCCCCCCTCCTACCAATATACCCACCCACCAACATACCCCTTACAACCAACATACCCCTTCCCACAACATACCCCCTGCCAACATACCCCTCCTACCAACATTTCTCCCACCAACATACCCCTTCCAACCAACATACCCATTCCCACAACATACCCTCCCACCAACATACCCCTCCCACCAACATACCCCTCCCACAACATACACCCTACCAACATACCCCTCCCACAACATACCCCCTGCCAACATACCCCTCCTACCAACATACCCTCCCACCAACATACCCCTTCCAACCAACATACCCCTTACCACAACATACCCTCCCACCAACATACCCCTCCCACCAACATACCCCTCCCACAACATACACCCTACCAACATACCCCTCCCACAACATACCCTCCCACCAACATACCCCTCCCACCAACATACCCCTCCCACAACATACACCCTACCAACATACCCCTCCCACCAGCATACCCCTCCCACCAACATACCCCTCCCACAACATACCACCCCACCAACATACCCCTCCCACCAACATACCCCTCCGACCAACATACCCCTCCCACAACATACACCCTACCAACCTACCCCTCCCACCAACATACCCCTCCCACAACATACACCCTACCAACATACCCCTCCCACCAACATACCCCTCCCACCAACATACCCCTCCCACCAACATACCCCTTCCAACCAACATACCCTCCCACCAACATATCCCTTCCAACCAACATACCCCTTCCCACAACATACCCCTCCCACAACATACCCTCTGCCAACATACCCTCTGCCAACATACCCCTCAACCATCCCAACCAACTAAACTCTCTCTCCCTCTCCCTCTCTCCCTCTCTCTCCCCCCCTCCCACCCCTACCCACACCCACAGACGCCCCTCGCTGCGCCGTCAGCCCATCCCTGCGCGGGGTAGGCCTACAGGAGCCGATCAACGTAACGTGTGAAGTTGACGCTGACCCCGTCGACGTAACATTCACGTGGACGTTCAACAACTCGGTCCGGAGGGAGCAGAGTGAGATCGTAGACAGCAAGAGGTGAGTTTGAGGGGGGGGTAGGGGAGGGGGGAGGGGGGGAGGGGAAGAGGCGTCTTTTGTTGTTGTTGTTGATGTTATTGTTGTGTGAAGTGTATTCATGTTGGTAAGTGTAGTAGAGGTATGATTGAGATTGGGGTGTATTTAATCTCTTTCGAATATATATATATATTTTCTTTTTCTCTCTCTCTCTCTTTTTTTTGACGAAGATGAATTCGAAACCGATTAAATACACATTTTGTATTGTGAAAATATTAGTTAATACCTTGTGTTTGTGTATCTATGTGTGTATGGGGGGGGGGTATGTATGTGGAGGGGTAGGTGGGGGGGGGGTCTGGGTTGTGACAGACAGACAGATAGACAGAGAAAGAGATAGATAGACACACGGAGGAGAAGAGAGAGACACACACACACAGAAAGACAGATACACAGAGACAGACACAGACTTAAAACCGGAAAACGAAAGAAAAAAAAAAAATACGTCTAAAGATTAAAATTTACAAACTACGAATTGTAAACTCAAGACAAGACTTGTCTCAAGTTTATTTACACAACTCAAAATAATGTCCCTTTGAAGAAAATATATCATTAAGGACATTCAAAACATTTTTTTCTTCTTATGTATATTTTCGTGAAGATTATAATTCTTTTTAAGATTTTTCAAGTAAAAAGTTCCTGCTGTGATTACTGGTCATTGTATTGGGTTATGCTGATTAAGAAAGGAAAGTGTGGAAGAGGGAAGGGAAGAGAGAAGAGGGAGGAAAGAGGAAAGGTAGGAAGGAAGAGGAGAAGAAAAAAGGAAGGGAGGAGAGAATAGGGAGGAAAGAGGGAAGGAAGGAGAGAAAGGGGGGGAAGAAGAGGAAAGGGAGGAAGGAAGAGGAGAAGAAAACGGAGAAGGAGGAAGAGGAAGGAAGGAGGGGGGAAGAAGAGGAAAAGGGAGGGACGGAAGAGGAGAAGAAAACGGGAAGGGAGGAGAGAAGGGGGAGGAAAGAGGAAAGGAAGGAAGGAAGAGGAGAAGGAAAAGGAAGGGAGGAGAGAATTGGGAGGAAAGAGGGAAGGAAGGAGAGAAAGGGGGGAGAGAAGAGGAAAGGGAGGAAGGAAGAGGAAAAGAAAACGGAAGAGAAGAGGGAGGAAAGAGGGAAGGAAGGAAGGAAGAGGAGAAGAAAAAAGGAAGGGAGGAGAGAATTGGGAGGAAAGAGGGAAGGAAGGAGAGAAAGGGGGGAGAAGAGGAA